GTCCATCGGGGACCGACGGACCTTAGGAGGGGGGTAATGTCACGGACGTTGGACAGACGCCCCTTTTTGCCGCCCATTCCCCTCCCTTTGACGCCCACCTTCCATTCGCGGACCATTTCCTTTTGTAGCCCATCCCAATTTGGACACTGTAGATACGTTCCCACAGCCGCATGCTACGTTCCCGCGATTGCCATGCCCTTGCCTTTTCTTTCTCGCCCTTTGTTCTCTCTTTGTCATCTTCACTGCCTCGCTCTCGCGCCTTGTCCTTGGTTGCTAAGCAGCCCCTCTAGTATATAAGGACCCCCTTAGGCGCTCCCTAGTCCCCATCTCGACCTCTTGGTCATTGGGACTAGGTGAGTGACCATAGCATTGTACTTCCCTTCGAGTGCTAATGTATAACTTGGTCATTGGGACTAGTCTGTCGCTGGTTGCGTGAAGACTAGCTTTCGTCGGTCTCGTGCCTTCGTGCCGACCGCCGCTCTGCCCCGTCGAGTTTTCTGATACGTTTATCCCTCTTACCCTCTCTTCTCCCCTTTCGGCTCCTCGCCGCTCGCCTACGAGGTCGTCGCCGAATGACGACCCGAGTCTACGCGCCTAGTCGCCGTGACAGAAACCCAAGTCTGCGGAAAAGTCCACCCTGAAGCCATACGCGGACAAGCTCGGTAAGGACAGGAAACTCACTCCGGAGGAACGACAACGCCGTCTGGCAGGAAACCTCTGCCTCTTCTGCGGAGGAGCCGGACACTCTGCGAGTGCTTGCCCCAAGAAGACGACTCTGTCGACGAAGGGCAGAGCAGCCCAAGCCAAGCCGACTCCGAGTGCTGAAACCCCAGCTCCGGAAGGGGCAAAAAACTAGTCCGCAGTTCCCCCAACTCCGTGCCTGGCGGGAACTGCGTTGACGGCGCCGGCACGGAGACCCAAGTCCGTCTTAACGCATCCGCTCTTTCCGACCCCTCTTCCCTTATTGTCGATCTGTACTCTGAATCCTCTCCGAAGCCATTCAAGGCCCTGATCAATAGCGGTTCCACTCATTGTTTCTTAGACTCCGAATTTGTTGATACTATTGGACTTCCATCTCGCTCCGTTTCTCTGATCGCTCTCCGGTTATTCGACGGGACTTCCAACCAGGTAATTACCCGGGAAGTTTCGCTCGCTCTGCAGTTCCCCTCCAGGAAAATCATGTCCGTAGACTTCTACGTCACTCCGCTCGACAAATCCGTCTCCGCCGTTCTGGGATACAGCTAACTCTCCGCCTACAATCCGTTGATTGACTGGAAGAAGCACAGCATCCAATTCGGGACCGCGCCGACGGTACGTCCTTCTGTCTCTGTATCCGACGAACCCAAAATCCAGTCTCCGCCTCCGGCACCTCCGGAACCTCCGTCTTCGTCCTCTGCTCCGCAGGTCTCACTTGTGAACACCGTGGCATTTGCCCGCGCTTGCAAGCTGCCGGGATCCGAGAGCTTCACGCTCAATCTGTCCTCCACTTCGACGGCCGAGGTTCTCGCCAGGAACTCCGCCACCTCCGACTCCATCTCGGACCTCTCCAATGTTTCAGAGGAGTACCACGAGTTCGCGGACGTCTTCAGCAAGACCAAGGCCGACACTCTTCCGGAGTGCCACCCCTACGACCTCAAGATCACCCTCGAGTAAGATGCAGTACCTCCGCTCGGTCCCATCTACTCCCTCTCGCAGCTGGAACTGGACACCCTCCGAGAATACATCAATGAGAACCTCTGCTCCGGCTTCATCTGCCCGACCAACTCTCTGTGCGGAGCTCCGGTCCTCTTCGTCAAGAAGAAGGACGGGTCCCTGTGACTCTGCGTTGATTACCGTGGGCTCAACAAGATCACCCGGATGGACCGTTACCCGCTCCCGCTGATCTCCGACCTCCTGGATTCTCCCCGGAAGGCTCGGATCTATACGAAGATCGATCTCCGGCACGCTTACAACCTGGTCCAAATTGTGTCCGGAGATGAGTGGAAGACCGCCTTCCGGACCCGCTACGGATCCTTTGAATGGCTCGTAATGCCCTTCGGACTTTCCAACGCCCCTGCAGCGTTTCAACGCTTTGTCAACAAGGTCTTCGTAGACTTGCTAGATGTCTGCGTAGTGGTCTACCTCGACGACATCCTCATCTACTCCGACAATCCGGCAGACCACCGAAAACATGTCCGGGAAGTGCTCTGACGTCTCCGGAAGCATCAGCTTTACGCCTGCGCGGACAAGTGCGAAGTCCACACGGACTCTGTCAAGTACCTCAGATACATCCTCTCCTCCAAAGGCCTCACCATGACTGACTCCAAGGTCAAGGCGATCATGGACTGGCCGGAACCCCGAAAAGTCTGCGACATCCAGTCGTTCCTAGGCTTCGCAAACTTCTACCGGAGGTTCATCCATAACTACTCCGAGATTGTCCTTCCGCTGACCCGGATTACCCGGAAATCCATCCCGTGGAACTTCTCCGACGATGCTCAGAAGGCCTTTAACACCTTGAA